CAATGAACAAAATGATATATTATTAAAAACTATAAATACAATACACAAATGTAACATGTTTATATGAGGACCCCCTTAGTGGTTCTAGGAATATTTTATATAAAATTGTGTTTTCTATTTAACTTATTATACTAAGATTATTTTTGCAATCATGCGTGGTATTTTTTTAATCAACCTTTTATTTATTTTTAACCTCACGTAGGCGTACCCCCTGCAGTACCCCAACGTACCCCTAGGGGTCCACGTACCCCCATTTGAGAATCACTGCTGTGTTGTGTTTAAAAAGCAGGAAATAAAAAAAGGAACTCACCTTGTGATAAACCTGCAAGAGAAAAAGCATTTGAGCTCCATACTATTTCAGAAATAATCCTTGACGTGGTTTAAACAGGATGGCGTTTTATCACAACCAAATGTAACTTTATCTCCGGTAGAATTCTGATCAGGCATTAGCTCCGCCTCCTCTTTTTTTTTTTTTTTAGCTAAGGACCCAAAATCTGAGTTTCTCTAACAGGGCTTCAAAAGAGGGGTTTGAGCAGTATGAGGCATGGCTACAATGTGTGATCTGTTTGGGATTTTGAAAAAAAAACTTCACAGACATGTTTTATATAGGTATGGCCCTACAATATATATTTCAAATATAGAATGATAGGTCCACTTTAAATACATGCAGAAATAATCACAAGGACACAGCTGGGCAGGAGCATCACCAGGGGAACAGAATCAGGTAATCAAACAGGGGGAGGGAGAACACAGAGACAGGAAGTAGAAACAGACCTAACACAGAGGGGGAATACTTTTCCAAATAAAACAGACAGATCATGACATTGAGCATGATGAGGAAGGCTTCTGATAGGCCATATAAAATGCTGCTGATAAGTGTAAATAGATCCTTTTTGGTAGAAAATCTCACCATTTCCTGCTTTGTCCTCCCCCCTCAGGCCACAGCTCCAGTGTCCATCCCGTCCAGCAACAGTAGCTCCAGCGGGTCGGCCTGCACCAGCTTCACCCCCACCAACAGCTCCAACTTCAGCATCTCCTGGCAGTCACCGCCCGTCACTTTCACCGGGTCCACGGTGAGAAACTTAAACATTTATTCTCAGCCACATGCACAGTTACATTTGGACCCTTATAATACATCACTTTTTCTGCCCCCTCCAGGTGTCCCCCAGTAAGAGCCAGGGCTTCGGTGAACAGCGCTCCCAAACCATCGCCGTCCTCTCGTCCCCGCCCAGAGCCACCACCGCCCTCAGGTACCCGATCCTCTTACCTGACATTTCCTTTTTTAGCAAACAATCCGAAAGCTCATAATAAATATTACCATCGACAATGCATACCTAAGCTAATTCTCTATTTAATTCAACCTTACTGAGTGAAAATAATCTAACATATTTACTCTCAAATCAGCTCAATGACTCTTAATTAAAGAGAAGTTTTGATAAATCAGCCTCTGATCTACCAAATCCACTCTAGATTGTATGATTTATGTGTTGTTTCCTTTTTAACACATCACAACCTTGTTGTTTGTTGATGGGTGTTTAGCTGCAATTAGAAAAGGCAAAACATAGGAGAATAGTTTGACATTTTGAGAAATGCAACTATTATATGCTTTCTTGAGTCACATAAGAAGTGTGATTACAACCCTCATACAGCAAGCAACTGGTTAGCTTAGCTTAGCATAAAGACTTGAAACAGATGGAAACAGTTAGCCTGGCTCTGTACAAAGGGAGTGATCATCTCATGTTGCTTGTGTATTTTAGTAGTCTAACAATTTGATTTCAATGTTTTAAAAAGGAATGTTTTTTTTACCACTGGTTTTTCGAATGATAGTGCGTGCACTTGATCATTTAAACAGATGATGATTTATAATGTTTCCACTTCTCCCTGACAGTCGGAAGGTGCGCGGTGAGGGGAAGAAGTGCCGTAAGGTGTACGGGATGGAGAACCGCGACATGTGGTGCACCGCCTGCCGCTGGAAGAAAGCCTGCCAGAGATTCACCGACTGAACGTTCCTCACCAACTTCAAAGCGCCACGCCAACGTGCACGGCTGCCTTTGGCCAGAGAAAAGGGGGAGGGGCATCGTTTTGCATGCATTTGGTTTTCTTCAGCTCAAAATCGCAACTGTCCGTCAAACTCTGGCTCTACCCCTGAGCCCCCCCCCTAAGCTCAACTGAACTCCAGCTGGGGAAGGGACCAAAGCAGAGTCACCTTTCACATTGCCGTCCTCGCCATTCCCACCATTCCCAGTTTTTGGGAAACCCCAATGCAGCTAAACAGTGTAAAGAAAATATAGATCTAAAGATGTTTCCTGTTTTTTATGTTGGGTTCAGTGTTGCATCTTTCTATGTTTTGTAAAGCTCTGGTTTTTAAATGGAAAGTCTAGTCAAAGAAGGAGTGTGTTTTAGTAAAAGAAAAGAATCTTCACTTTTTTATCCAAAAGAAGATTGGGCCTCTTTGCTGCCATTTTTGAAGAACGTGAAAGCATGGCGGTAAAGCTCGCAGTTTTTGTTCTCCCTTAGACTTGTTTGTGTCTTGTTTTATTTCTGGACCTTTTGAGGTGATCTTTTATCACCGACATGCCAGCCTCTCTACCGGCTCCTCACCCGCTCTTCGCTCCTGACAGCCGCTGGGAATGTACGACCGAGCCGAGAGGGCCGGCTGACACGTGGAGAGGAAGAGAGAGACACATGGTGAACGAGCAATGCAAAAAAAAGATACGATTTACAGTCAGGGAAAGCAGATGGACCATGCGTTCACACACACAAACAAACACAGGTATTCACACTCAATCCGTTTTCTATGTCACTTTTTATCCAGTTCATTCATTTCCTTTGCTTTATCAGGGATGTGATTCTAAAGAAAGCAACAACCAGCAGCTGACACATGGAGTTATACAGAACAGCACAGTCTCAATAGCTTCTCTCTTTCACTTTGCAACCAAAAGCTCCTGTATCTTATTCTCTATTTCTTTGTTTTTGTTGAGGTGTTCACCATGTTTACTGTTGTTGATGTATTTTTTTTTGGCAAAACCAACACTGTTTACCTACCACCTGCAGAAAGTGTGTTAAAAAGGCTTCCTGACAGCACTGGAAGCATGGAGTCAGCATGCGAGGCCACGAACAGATAAACACCTTTGACCACACACAGAGAGACAGACTGCCCTCCTCCTCAGCCAACCTTTACACCTTCCTAAAGGAAACAAAATATCTTTGTGTTTACGGCGCATCTTGATCATCTGTTAACCAAAGGGGGAGGGCTGAAAACCAAAAGTGAGGCACTTGCACTGTATGTGTGACACGGGGCACTTGGTGCTATTGAGGTGAAAATGTTGCTACCTTCCACGAGCCCTTTTCATTTACAACTTCTAAAAGAAAATAAGAACAACTAAAAGCAAACATTTGATCACACACAATATGGTTACCCCCATTTTGAACCATTATTTGCTCTAAGAGTTTTGGAGAAATTATTTATAAGCACTTGATCAGGTCACTCCTTGTTGTTCAATGTGCACTGCACACTTTCTTCACTTGGCAACATGCAAGCAAAGCTTTGACTCCAGCTGTTCGGAGAGTCCGCCACGTAACATTGTCACTGAGAAGTCGAGAGGGGGAAAGGTAAAAATGTCTGATTTGTCTTTTGAATGTGTTCATTTGAGTTTCCGCCTCCTTGTTGGCTCAGGCAGGAAATAAATTGTCGAAAGCCCAAAAAGTTTACAGATGTTTACTCTGTAGTGATAATGGACCAACTGTTTTTCACCTGGGGCCGCGCTCTACTTTATTACAGTGTACTGAAATAGGTTGAAATGTTGTTTCTACGAACAGACACATATACTATATATGTGATACTGATTCTGCATTTACTCTCTTCATTATTGAATGTTTTCTCAAATGCATGCTAAAATCTTTATTGGCAGTTCACACAGATTCTTTTTCCCCCCCAGAATTATTGGAAACCAACACCAGCTATAAACTCGCTCGCTCGCCCATTTCACAGTGCAGTCTTTTCCCACCTGATGGTAAAATGGTAGCTCTGTTATGTTTGCTCAGCTGTTTCTATTTGTTTTTGTGTGTTCATGTATATATGTCATTCTTGTGTTTTCTCTAAGCTCCATGTTTATGACCCGTTACCTCGGTCATTACATTTGCCACCTTATGAACGACATATTTAGATTATCTCCAAACTGGTTTGCCATTGTATTTTGTGAACGTATTATCGTTTAAGAAAAGACAAATCTATATATACGTAAAGAAACAACATGTTCACATTTTCAAAAGCAAAAAAAGACATTGATTTGGCTGTTTGTTTTATATTTTTTCCATATATATATAAATGATGAAATATACTGTTTATACATTTTGTTTTCATGTTCTGCTAAAAGGTTTTTTGTATTGTTAGGGGGAAGCCCAGGCAGGGTGACGCGCCTGCAGCGCCTTCACGTAGACCCCCCCTCCCCCCTGCCGCTACTGCTAAGCGGTTGAAATCCACAGTTGATTAAAACCTTTATCTTCTTTCCAATTCACCTCTCTGGGTGCCATGCAGGCTCACTTGCAATTAGTTTGATTGACATCTCGGGTGTGTTTGCACTCATGTGTGCAGTGATACACTCCTGTGTATGGATGTGAAGGAGCCCCAGGCAAAGTAGTTGCCACTGGAGCACTGTGCTCTGC